CCGCGACACATGAAATTCTTTTAGGCAGGATTAGAGTCAATTAATCTATGAGACCTTGGGTGTGGTAAAGTGTTTGATCTTCTGAGTCCAAAACTGTAATTAGATCTCAAATCGGTCAAGAGATGACGGAACTATGAGCTAAAAGTTTGAACTTGAAAAAAAAAACAACCCAGGGCCGTAATATGAGCTACTATGACGCGGCTAAAAATCCATATAATGTAGATACACTATTCTTAAGCCCTTGCTAGCCAAGACTTTCCTAAGATAGTTCTGTGAAACAATTTAGGATATATGAAATTCATAAGTTTCATCTTGTCCTCCGATGGGACAACAGTAAGTTTACGGACATACAACGCTAAAATCCGGGATTTGAGCCCCCTCGATGGACACAGTAGATAGCTTAATGTGTCTTTTCTCTCAAAAACAAACAAGTTTTATTTTAAGTATTGAATTAGAAAATAGCTTAAAAAAGATTTTAAGTGGTTTTCGTGAAGCTGCAATAAAAAAAAAGTAAGAAATGTATAGCGGTTTTGCTTGGCTTTAGAACAAAGCCACATTGAGCTATCTGTTGTGTCCACCGAGGTGGTTCGAATCCCGGATTTTAGCACTTGTAAGTCCAAAAACTTACCGTTGCCTAACTAGGGGAACTTAAAGGATACATAATAACGTCTGAAGCTGTCCACATTTGCATTCATAGAATACATATATCTTGAAAAGCAATCAAACTATAACGCTTTCGTTTCGAGCTATTGAGCTTACGAAAAATGCTTAATTTTGTTTCAGATGTAATTATATCAACAAATTATTAAATTTAAGATAAATGATTGTAATCCTGGATCTGCCAGCTAAACCCGATGGGTTCTATTTCAAATATTACAGGATTTTATACAATTCTGTGTTCAAACACATTCGATTAAGGACTTATTCAACCAGAAGCTTTCTTTTTTTTCCAGTATTTCTTAATAAAGACACATTTACTCGTAACGGTATAACAATGTTATTCTGTTAGCCGCGGTATAACGGCTCTGAGTTTTTGTTTTTCAAGTACAAACTTTTAGCTCATAGCTCTGTCATCTCTTGACTGATTTGTAGCTTGCGTTTAAAAAACAAAAAACAATACCCTCCTTCTAGTTATTTTAATTGACAAAAAATGGAGATAACTCTTAAAATTTCAAGAATATAGATTGGGTAATTGTCTTCAATGCTCTATTTTAGCATATAATAATAATAGAGGTAAACTTATACATATTTTTTATTTCTCTTGTGATGACTTCTTGCAAGAACATATGGCTTGCAATCAAATATTGTTGTTTTCAGAGTGACTTGCAGAATTTTTGTCTGTGTGTTATGAAAAACCTAACATTCATACAAAAGCCTAATTTATATGTGTATGGCCTGATGGTTAGGGCGCTTGACTCGCAATCTGAGCATTGCGTGTTCGAATCACCGCCACCGAATATGCTCTCAACCGTGGGAGCGTAATAATGTTTCGTTCAATCCCACTATTCGTAAAAGAGTAGCTCAAGAGTTAGAGGTGCATGGTGTTGATTACCTACCTTCCCTCTAGTCTATCACTGCTGAAAATTGTTTATTAAATAGGTTATTAGTCATAATCAACTATTTATTTAATAGTATCTAATGTTGTAGCTGTTGACATAAATAGTATTTAATGTTGTAGATGTTGACATAAATAGTATCTAATGTTGTAGCTGTTGACATAAATAGTATTTAATGTAGTAGCTGTTGACATAAATAGTATTTAATGTTGTAGATGTTGACATAAATAGTATTTAATATTGTAGATGTTGACATAAATAGTATTTAATGTTGTAGATGTTGACATAAATAGTATTTAATGTTGTAGATGTTGACATAAATAGTATTTAATGTTGTAGCTCTTGACATAAATAACATTTAATGTTGTAACCGTTGACATATTCAACTATTCAATCTTGTTGAAAACAGTTGTTCAGTTTATTGTACACTTTTGTCCAGCAAAATAAGTTTTAAAAGTAATTACTTCTAGCTTACCGTGACTTTTAAGTAATATTAATCAATTAATAGAAATGTTATGAATTCCTTACTGCAATTCCAGACATTGAAAAATATATATGTCACTAAACTTTTATGTGGCATAAAGCTACACAATAGGTTATGTGTGCTCTTCCCACCACCAGTAACGAAACCCGGTTTCTAGCGTTGTAAGTCCACAGACATGCCGCTGAGTCACTGGGGGCGTATCACTAAAACATTTATAAGAAACCTATATTCCATGTTTACATCAGAAATGACAAATATAGTGTAAGTTATTAAAAAGAAGCTGTACAAATTTAATGTACAAAATGTATAATTTAGGTAGGAACATTAAGTAAAATTTAAATAGAGTATAGTATATTTTCTTGTTTTGTTTTTAATTATGCACAAAGCTCCACAAGGAATATCTTTGCTCTGCCCAGCGAGGGTATCGAAACCCGGTTTCTAGCGTTGTAAGTCAGCAGACATACCGCTGTGCCACTGGGGGCAGTATATTTTCTATATTTTCATAAAGCAAGATCACCGAAACTAAATTAAATAAATTTGCAAGTGTTTAAATAAGTTCTTTATTTTACCCCTTACCCCTCCCAGTGGCAAAGCAATATGTCTGCACAGTGATATTGCCAAAAACCGGATTTCGATGCCCGTGGTGGACAAAGCACAGATAGCCCATTGTGTAGCTTTGTGCTTAATTACAAACAAACCTTCTTTCCCTTTTTCAAGCCCGTTTCGACCCGTTGTCAAACGTAAATATAGGACGTATGGATAACGTGAGAACAAATAGAGTATACACAGACGGCTAATTTATTACAAAAATATATTTGCTTCTTATTTTTCTTTCGTTCCACCACTTTTATACATTGTAATCGATATCTTTCTTAATCATCACCAAAAACAACATATAACTTTTTTGTCTGTGATTATTATAAAGCCAAAGATAATATTTTTATTTCATGAAGTTTCTTTGCTAACTTTATGTACTTTTGGACGTAATATAACCTATTTTGTAAGCAAAAAAAATCGAATAGTCAAAGAGCACACACGAAAGTTTTTCGATAAATATTACAACGTTTAGTTTTGATTTTTACTAATTATATACATACGTAAATTTAAGATCAAACTCACGAGATATTAGCACAATTATCTCGCTTGATTTTTTTTTTGTAATTGCACACACACATGTTTGAGATCAAACTCAGGGAAGTATAATTATCTTGCTTGCTTTTTTTGTAATTTTTCTGACTTAACTGACTAGTTTGCTTATATCTCCGTCCATCAGCTTCGTTTTAAAACTAGACTATATTTTCAGACGAAAGTCAAAAAGACATGAAGACTGCTTGTTGGGTTGCCCTTGTCTCTGTTCTTTACCTTTCCGTGTCAGCTACGTCTTCAACTCCGGTTTCAATACCTTCTCAACTTCAGAAAATAGCTCAACTGGTCATCCCTTACATCAACAAGGCCCGTGGCTACACATTGCTACAACCTAACACAAACAGGTTTACTGTGCAGTCCAGTGATTCAAACCCTCACACTAGCGTAAAAGAAGACGAAGACGAAAAAAACCTTCTACCTGATAAAGGCATCACAGACTTTGAAGACGGAGATTTAGACAATTTACAAGCACCATCTCACAGATTTGATGATTATGGCCACCTGAGATTTGGAAGAAGTGGTCCGGCAGAAAAAACTGATGACTATGGCTACATGAGATTTGGAAAATAATATAAATTTTTCTTTCACTAATTCTACACTAAAGAAATCACTATTGAACAATAAAATGATACAGAAATCTCAATTACTTTTTGAATATCATAAAATTATGTATTACGCAAACAAAAATAAATAAAGATTTTGTGTGCAAATAGCAAGTACTATTAATTACTTTACTTACACGTAACTCTTTTGTTATCATTAGGGGGAGGGGACGATAAATATATAAATATATGTCTTTATTTGCTATTGTAGCTCACTAGTAGAAATATTCGCAAATTCTAATTTCTTAAAAAGCCCCCAGTAGCTCGGCGGTACGTCTGTGGGCTTATAACGGGATTTCGATACCCGTGATGAACACAGCACAGTTAACCCATTGTGCTCTTAAATACAAACAAAACAAATTCCTTAAAAGTTTAATCCAAAATTAATAAGTCTTCGTGTTTTCCAAAACTCGTGACAGAAATGTTTAACTCAATGACAAGTGTTATCAAACGACTTTATTTATTTTCCACAGAGATTGTATTATCTTTTCATGATAGCATCAGGGGTATGAAAATCTTAATGGTCTCTTATCAATAAGATCTCGCCAGGATTTTCTCCAGCTTTATATATTTGAGTGAAATAAGAGATAACTCAAAAAAGCACAACTTTGCAGAACTGTATAATTATTGTTATGTTATTGATCGCTAGCCTATCCATTTCTCTGGTTTAGATCGCCCATCGATGTTTCGCTACTTCTAGCTTTTTTCTGTCCTACATATATCAGCGCCATCTGTCCGCAGCTTATTTTAATATAACACATACTTACTAAAATGTCATAAGAAATACCATGAGCTAAATTATAAATATACAAATAATACTTTTAACAATTCGTCTTTCCAAGCAACAATTAACAATGAAACGCATTTCCCATAAAACGCCAAAACCATTATGATAGTGTAATGTAACACTTTGAATACTTTACATTTTGAAACACAGAACTGGATTAACAACACTTACTGATTAATAAAGTTTCTACTTCAATAAATAATAAGTCTTTGTAACAGAATGAAGTTATCAAATAATCAAAGTAATATTGTATACATTTACATTACGTAATACAACCCCTTGAAGTTATTACTTCAAAATTGTAATATACAAAATAAATCATCATTTATGATAGTAGGTTTGTGAATGTGACATTTGCCCGTACAAACCCAGAAATTAATATATATATACTTTGACAAGTATGATGGAAGGAAGTGAAAAAAATATTTAATTTTGTATTTGAATTTAATGAAAAATTAAACAGTATCCATGGCTCTCATTTCTGCTGATAAAATTATAGCCTTGAATAAGTTTCAATTTGATTCAGATGAAAAATTAAATAGTTTTTTATTTAGATTATTTTTTACTTATTAATAATTGCCCCCCCCCCAAGCGGCACAGCGGTATGTCTGCCGACTTCCAACGCTAAAAACCAGGTTTTAATACCGTGGCGGGCAGATCAAGCACCGATAGTCCTTTGTGTAGCTTTGTGTTTAACTACAAACAGTGTTCTTCATAACTATATATATATATATACATAGAATTGTTGTTGTTTTTATTGGCACAAAGATACTAACGCTAGCTGCGCTAGTTGCCTCTAATTTTGGACTGTTAGACTAGACTCAATAGATGGAGAAAAAATAAGAAAATACTTGGAAGTTCAGTTATCTTTCAATAGATGGAGAAAAGATTAAGAATAAATACTTGGAAGTTCACTTATCTCTTAATAGATGGAGAAACAAATAAAGAAAAAATACTTGGAAGTTCAGTTATCTCTCAATTGATGGAGAAAAAAGTTAAGAAAGATATACTGGAGACTTTACTGAACTATTATTAAAAACCTTTACTTAAAACAGAATAGAAGTAAGTACTGTCTCTACCTTATATTTGCACAACAAACACGTCCTGATGTTCGTCCAATAACTATCAATTTAAATCCCTTTGTGTTCATTCCAGAATGAAAGATGCATAATTTATCCTTATTTCAAAATTTTTACGGTAGTTGCGATATCATTCAAATTTTCCGGACCCAGACAGAAATTAATTACTGAAGACAATAGATAAAATATAAAGTTTTCTCTTAGAAAACGTTTGGTAACTATTTAATAAGGTAAATAATAATAAGGAAATAATAAGGAAAAATACTTGAATATTCAGTTATCTCTCAATAGATGGAGAAAAAATTAAGATAAAAATACTTGGAAGTTCAGTTATTTCAATA